GGCCACGTGTACCAGCATATTTCTAATAATATTACCACAAGTGGTACACAATATATGTGATAGTTACTCTAAACAAGAGAACTACTTATCGATTGATGACATAATGAAAGATTGTGTGATAATCTGATGAACATCAACCTTCAGTCAAAATATCAAATGGCTTGGCACGGAACGTGTTAACAGACCCTTTGGAAAGACCAACAACACAGAAAAATATAAAACGCTACGGGGAAAATTCGAGAACAGAGCCAACAAGCTCGGAAGCAACACTTACATTTCTATTATTGTTATTTTCTTTCTTTATTTGTTTTCTGTTGACTGTTCTTATGTATACCATCTCGTGTACATTTGTTCTGTATATATTGCAGCTGTATATTACATACAAGTACACAGGCCATGTATAGGCCTGATAATGAATAAATAAAAAAATAAAGAGAAAAAAATTCAAAACCGCGTGTGCAAGAATGTAAGCACGTAAATTTGTCGGACGTTGTTGCGTGCATGTCTTTCGTCTCGAGATTTCATTTTAACCGATCTGTATCTGACAAACTAATTCGTAGATTGTAAACGACGTAAGTAACCTCTAACTTTTGAAAAGTTCCGTAGAGTTGATTTTAGCGTCACGGTCCTTTCACCTGCGCGAGATAAACGATCGGGTGAACGCGTCGCGCGAGTTTGAGAACCACTGCATTCCCCGTTGCTTAGGCTAGCCCACATTCACCCGTGTAGAAAAGTTCGTCGTACACCAGGCATAATTTGTTCGTACACTCCTGAATGTCAGTGACTAATAAAATTCTTTTTCTATATTTTTGCCTACAGGTAAATTATTGGAACGCTTGTTGCATTTATTACAACCGTTCACGGATATTATCGCGATTACACTAATCGTAACACTAATCGTATCAGCATTTCACATATAACCGGCCATTTGACCGGTTACGAAATAAATGATTTTTTTTTTGGAAGGAATTGTCAATTTATTGTAAGAAATAATGCACAACATAACTTTGGAATAATAATATGATAACCAATCGTATATTTTCATTTTTATATTTATCATAAACAGGACATAAATATAAACAGATCATAGGGGCAGCGTTTGCTTCATTTAGAAGTAAATGAAGGATATTTTTGTTTTTGTTAATTGCATTTTTTGCAGATGATAGGCTTCCCTTTCGTACATTTATTGCGGGTATATTTTTTACAAATAGTACGATAGATTTAATTGTTTTATTAACTTTGTAAAATCGTGTCTGACATGTTTTTCCGCAAATGCGAAATATTACATTGGTCACGTGACGTTTTCCTTTTCTTCTTGGAGAAATTCGTGATAGTGCTCTGCTAATTGTAGTAGAAATTGTTGTCTTGGTATATTTTGTCCGCTTGTTTCCTTATAAAGGGTCCATGCATTGATACCAACCAAATCAAGGCCATCTGTAAGATTTGGATTTGACACTGTACTTTCTCGCCATTTGATCGGTCACGTCGACTGAATTTGGTTTTATTATATTACGCAACTGTCTCAGGTATTCGCTTTCTATCGTTATTGATTTTTACACATTTATACCTCGAACTTAGTATTATAGCTTTTTCGCTTGGTTTAGGTTAGGTTAAGTTTTTTACACATTTATGCCTCGAACTTAGTATTATAACTTTTTCGCTTGGTTTAGGTTAGATTTGGATTTATAGCTTTTTTGCTTGGTTTAGGTTAGGTTAAGTTTTTACACATTTATGCCTTGAACTTAATATTATAACTTTTTCGCTTGGTTTAGGTTAGGTTTAAGTTAGGTTTAAGTTTGGATTTATAGCTTTTTCCCTTGGTTTAGGTTAGATTTAAGTTAGGTTAGGTTTTTACATATATATGCCTCGAACTTAGTATTATTGTAACTTTTTCGCTTAGTTTAGGTTAGGTTTAAGTTAGGTTTAGGATTTATAGCTTTTTCCCTTGGTTTAGGTTAGGTTAGGTTTTTACACATTTATGCCTAGAACTTCGTATTATAACTTTTTCGCTTGGTTTAGGTTAGGTTTAAGTTAGGTTTAGGTTTGGATTTATAGCTTTTTCCCTTGGTTTAA